CCTGGCCCACGGCATGAGGAAGTAATTGCGCATCACCACATCAGACAGTCTGAGAAGCCCTAGTACAAAACATGTTTTTATTCTGCAACTGTGTCATGAGGAATGCATGTATGGCCAGGAAGGACGGCTGTCTGAAACCCTGGAGAGCCATTGCTGCCAGCCTGTGTAGACAACACTGAGTCAGGTGAAGCCTAATTCAGTAGAAGGAAGCTTCCTATGTTGAATGAGTAAACTGACTAAAAGTGACGCAATTGAGCATCTCACCCTGCACCCTGTGGTCCCACGGGATCCCAGGGCAGGGCAGGTCTCCATCTCTGGGGGCAGAGAGGAAGAGGGGCATCCTCAGAAAGGGACAGCTGACCTTGTAAGTCCCCTTTCCACTGCCATGGATATCCCTGCAGTTCAGCTGTGGCCTTTCCCAGGCTGTGTACACACTCCAAAGCCCATTCAAAACACATTTTCCCACACAGATAATTCCAGGGTTTATTAAGGGTTGCTGGGAATTATAATTCTGTAAGGGGTAAACTATAGGACACAGAATCCCTCAAAGGAAATGATGTGCTTCTAATGTGTTTTAAAGGTACAGTAATAAGAATTCTAAGGTTGAATTCCATGATCTCAAATATAAAATAACTGTTCATAAATGTACAAGGCAAACACATACATAAGTATATAAACCACGTGTCTGAAATAGTACAGGAGAACAATCCTGAAGCCATTTTGACTCTCCCAAATTGACCTCAAATATTTCTCTGCAAGGAGGAAGGAAATGGGAAAAGCTTTCCGATTCTCTTTTGACTGTGTAGGGGCTTACACCTCCCTTTTCAAATACAGTCTGGCAAGTATCTGTTAAGCGGAGCACACTTATCAATATGCAGAAGAGATTCAGGAACTAAGTATTTACCATCTCAAAGGAATGGCCAGGCTACCCAGAAAAGGCAATCAAGTAAGGCATTACCGGTATCAGGTATCCTGGCAGACAGGAGAGAAGCAACACACTCAAATTTCTGCTGGAGACCGCCTCCTCTGATGTATGTTTTGGGGTGGTGGTCTTGGGCGGTTGTTGTTTAGTCATTTAGTCGTGTCCGACTCTTTGTGACCCCCTGGACCAGAACACGCCAGGCACTCCTGTCTTCCACTGCCTCCCGCAGTTTGGTCTACAGTTGGTCTACATGGTCTACTCATGCTGGTCTACATGTGGGCAATTTCAAAAGTCTATATAGGGGCTTGAGCACCATTGTTGGGGGTTCTCCTCCCTCCTGTGTGTGGTGAGTGGGGACCCTGCTGCAACAGTTTATTTCCTTCAATAAAGATCAAGCTTACTAGCCACTTTACTTCTCAATATACTTTGGTTGGCCTCTGTTATTTTCTCCTACCGATAGGGAACCCACTTAAGGACTCTATACGGGCTTTGGAATATCCCATAAGGGAAAGGTAACAGGAGAAAAGAAATGCACAAATGTGCTTAGCATGTGTGGCTCTCCATCCTGCTTTTCCTGCATTCCACTGGAACTAGGCAAATGTTCCAATTTTATTTCTGGAACATAAGCATACACTGTTTGTGCCACTTTCACTAATAGTCACACTGAATCTCACTTTGCAGCTGGTGGTTTTGTTTTTTGTTTGACTGGATGGTGGTGATGAGGATTGAAAAGCTTCTTTCTTCTCCTGCATCAGGTCAGTAGCAGCTGAGGCCTAAGGCACATCATAAAAGCTGAGAAAAGTTGTTTGCATTGATGGTGCTGGCACAAGGACTCTCTCGTCAGCAGCCAGCTAGGAGATTTGGATATGCATGTTCAGCTATTTTGAGGCAGGACTGCATGTTTCAGTTCACAAACTGATTCCATCTTGTTGACTGGAATCTGGAATCTGATTTACGTCTACAATAGGCACCGAGGGCCTGGTGTTCAGGAGACCACTAAATCTCAGAGAAACCAAAGACTGGAACTGAGGGAAGTCGGGTGGGGTGGGGTGGGGTGGGGGGGTTGTGTGGGGGGTGGGGGGAGATAGGAAAATGGGGGGGGAATTAAGGATGACATGTTTTTTGGATAATATGTTTTGTTTAAATATTTAATAAAAACTATATATATAAAAAAGAGTTCCGTTTCCACACATCTTACATCAAGAGTCCAATGAGGCAGGGAGGACTATGGAGTCCAGAAGTGGTGCTGATCTTGAGGCCAGATGGTTGGCCTTGGGAAGGACTCCAGCTCTCATGAAGGGAGACACGGGATTCAGTTTGCATTTAAAGGTGAATTTACCGGTACCTACTTCATGCTTTCAGAAACAACTACAGTACTGGAAATCCCATTTGGAGATTTTACCAGGAATTTCCCCATGCAATTTATATAAGTATATAGCATATTTACATCCATAAGGCCTGGAAAAATCCACACCACTTTGGAGTAATAGTACCGCTCTATTCTGCCTTGGTCAGACGACACCTGGAGTCCTGTGTCCACTTTGGGGCAGCACAATTTAAGAAGAATATTGAGCAGTGGGAATGTGTGCAGAGGAGGGCAACCAAGATGATCAAGGGTCTGGAAACCAAGCCTTACGAGGAGCTGGGTATGTTTAGCCTGAGAAAGTGGAGACTGAGAGGAGATATGAGAGTCATCTTCAAATAGCGAAAGGGCTGTCACATGGAAGATTGAGAAAGCTTGTTTTCTCCTGCTGCAGTGGGTAGGATCCAAACCATTGCACTAAAGTTACAAGAAAGGAGATTCTGATTAAACTTTTTGACGGTAAGGGCCCTTCAACCGTGGAATGGACTCCCTTGGAAGGTGCTGGCCTCTCCTTCATTGGTGATTTTTAAGCAGAGCTTGAATAGCCATCAGTCATGGATGCTTTAATTGAGATTCCTGCATTGCAGGGGGTGGTCTAATGATGCTTGAGGTCCCTTCCAACTCTATAAAATCTATAAACACAAGCGGAAAGTGTGCACAAACATGCATATATTATAGGAAATGACATACAAAAATGCATTACATATGAGGAAACTGCTTTGCAAATATGTACATTTTAGGGAAAACTGCATACAGAAATATGTATATTGGGAGAAATGTACACATATAGATTAGTGTATTCAAATAAATTGCAAATTAGTGTCCTTTTTGGTGTCACATATTTTGTGATCTGCAGGTGGTGACTCTGTAAGAGGAGTTATTCAGAGTTATTCATATTTGCAAATGTGTATGTGCCTACACACACACACACACACACACACACGTTGCAGAATCCAGCTTTTCCAGCAGGGAATTTGGCGGTACGCTTCGATGCCCATGCGTGGCTCTTAGCTGCACCATGGGAGTAAAGGCATGCTTGGAAGACTGGCAAAAGCAACGTGAGGGTGAAACCATACTTAGAGCAACCCTGCAAGGCATTTCTATTTATGCTCCTGCTCTCCAGGTTGTCAGGGAGAGGTGGAGCAAGCACAAGCACAAGAACCAATCCTCTTTCGTTAGTGGAGATGATGGACAGAACCTAGAAATTTTATTTTAAAGAGGAACTAGTTCTCATTCAAGGACATGTCCAAAAAAGGGACTAATTCCACTTCACAGTCATCCTTTTACAAAATGAACTTTTTTGGTCTGTGTTTAGTTCGCAGTTCAAGTTTATCCAAATGATCCTTGGCATTTTTTCTTTTTCAGAATTCAGAATGCTATAAGCTGCTGTGCTGAAGTGTAAAATATACTTAAGAAGATCAAGAAAAACATGAAAACACACACAGTGGCATGGGAATAGTTTATTTCTCCAAACAATTACGGTGTTTGGGTGTAAATGCACAAAGAGTATAAAGCATACATAGGAGAATGAACCTGAAGATGAACTAGAAATCATCCAAATTTCTTCCCCAAAACAAATTTAATTCACGTTCAGTTCACCCAGCAGTTACAGAAACTAATTGCAGAGGTAGTTCAGAGATTTCTGAAGTAGTTCCGTGAACTTCGAAAAATCGAACTAGTACATTTTAAGCACTAACCATGAAGTGAACGGTCTCCCTCCCCTCAAAGGAGCTGTGTGGGGAATTTTGCTTCATGGTAATTGATCATGACAATGAAAGGGCACCACAGCGCTTTTCCTGCCACACTTAGAACACAGGGCACCTTCCAGTGGGAGATTTGCTCAGCCGTGTCAGTACTTCCAAAGGACATTTAGCTGAAACCAGGCTGTCTAAAAGCCTGCAAGGGGAGAATCAAAAACACTCATGATGGTCTGAAGGTTAAAAACGGAGCTCTTCACAGAGAGGCACACCAAAAAGCTATTACAGGGCAGAAGATCAAGTTCTCTTTTCTGTTAGAATAATTTGATCATAAATAAAGGAAGGCATGTTCCGTCTTCCCCTTCCCCTTGCTGTGAGAGGGTGTGGGGAGATGGAGATTTTAAACATGCACATTATGCCAGGGCTGACTAGGTGTTAATTTATCCTACAGGGATCCAGTAGGGATAGTTGCTAACTGAGGTGTTTGGCGTGTTAGAGGAGGGGTAGTACCTCTGGTGTGGGACGTGCCATGCTCCTTCTGGGATAGCTTTCCACCTTTGGTACCCACCCTGCACTCAGCTCTCGCCTGTGGCTCCTAGAAGCTGTCAGTGTGTGAAAGTGGCCACACTCCAGGATCGGCTTCGGCTGGACAACCAAACCAGGTGAGGGTAGCCAATGGGTCTCAAACCCTCAGTCAGTTAGGGACGTTCTCTGCATGCAAAGACAGGCTCCGGTAGAGTGAGAAGATGAGACAGACACTGAGTCAAGAGGCGGTTAGGGCGCATGTTGTAGAGGGGGAAATCTGTACCTCTTGCCTTGCAGGACATCTTCAGGAGAAGAAAAGGCTAAGGAGCAAACCCTACACAAATCCAGAGTGAAGTCACTAAGATGGTTGGATGGTTCCTTGTACGCCTCCTTCCAGGAACTCCTATAGCCAAGCTGGTGCCAAACGTACTGCTTTCCTTTCCTTTGGACCACCTCAGTGAGGCTGAGAGGAGAGTCTTGCCATCTGGGCAGCTCAGGACCTCCAGACACGCTGCCCAGGCATGTGCCCTGGGGAGGTCACTTCTGTGCTGCTAACACAGCAGTTTGACTTCACCTGCTTCAGACCCACATTCCGCTGCTTTTTGTTGAGAAAGATGGACTGTGGCCAACTAAAAGTCTGCTGACAGCTTGCTCTTTATCCAAAAGACAAACTGCTGAGACCATTCTAGACTCAGAAGTTTTATAGGGTCATGTGGGATCCCATCAGCCCCTCATATTACCTTATCCCGGCTGGACTGATAGCTGCACCTGCAGTTCCATGTTCTCGCCATCTGCTCTGGTAGCTGGAAAGTGGACCTGGAAAGTTTGGGTACCTGGACTTTGTTTTCTTCATCCCTCCCCATTCCTTTTCCTCTCTTTCCTGTCATATCTTTTTGGTTGACCTGAGAGACTTGCGCCAATGTGCATTTGTCAGCCGCACAGCTGAACAGCAGCTACTTCACTATGCCAGAAGTTGTGTTTCTTGCCATTGTGCTTGCATATGTGAGCCTGAAAAATGGCTAGTGGTGAGCAATGCTCAGTGGAACCTCAGGCTCCAGAAAGGACTGTGCAGACAGTGGCCAGGAGCGGAGGGAGTGGTCTGCACTGAGCGGGGGGTGGTCCCTGGGGCAGCATGTTAGGAAGTCATTCTGCAAAGAAACAGAAAAAGGTGCTTATAGCTTTAAAGAAGTTTTCTTTAAAGGTTAGGAGTGACACTCTAGGCTGATTGGTTACAGCTGGGGATGAAAAGAAAAAGGAGGAAGTTGCAGGTGGCACTTCCCTGCAGGAGGAAAGAGGACCCACATACTGTGTGTTTATACTGTGGTGGGAAAGGGAACGTAAATAGTTTTGTATATAGTCACAACTAAAATGCTTGTGAACCAGCCAAGAAATAAAGTAACTCTTGACTGAGTATTTTGCACAAGTCTCTTGTCGTCTGCCACCAGGAAGAAACTCTGCTACAAGCTATTTCAAGCTGTTCCATAGAGGTGCCACCACACCAGCAGCAACCTCCACTACGGCACAGGGGGTCTGCAATGTTTCATGCTTGCTGCCGTGCATCAGGGGTTTTGTTTACAGGTGGCAGGGGAGATTGCAGGAGGCAGTGCGGTTCCTCGGCTGCAGGGGGATGGAGCCACTGGACAATACAGTGGTACCTTGGGTTACATACGCTTCAGGTTACATACATTTCAGGTTACAGACTCTGCTAACCCAGAAATAGTGCTTCAGGTTAAGAACTTTGCTTCAGGATGAGACCAGAAATCGTGCTCCGGTGGCGCGGCAGCAGCAGGAGGCCCCATTAGCTAAAGTGGTGCTTCAGGTTAAGAACAGTTTCAGGTTAAGAACAGACCTCCAGAATGAATTAAGTACTTAACGCAAGGTACCACTGTATAGCAGTGAACTTTAAGGGAGATGCAGAGACTGTTATTTGTGGTGCAATACCCCTTTTGCTTGTACAGTGGTACCTCGGGTTACAGACGCTTCAGGTTACAGACTCCGCTAACCCAGAAATAGTACCTTGGGTTAAGAACTTTGCTTCAGGATGAGAACAGAAATCTTGCTCCGGAAGCACAGCGGCAGCGGGAGGCCCCATTAGCTAAAGTGGTGCTTCAGGTCAAGAACAGTTTCAGGTTAAGAACGGACCTCCAGAACAAATTAAGTACTTAACCCCAGGTACCACTGTACTTATTTTTGATTCAGATTTGTCATGGCCAATGACTCAACAACTTTGGTCCGCCCTAGGTGTCAGTGGGGGTTGCTACACTGCTGTGTGCAGATGTTCCAATGGTCAAGAGGTGAGGCTCTAGATAGTTTGCTCTTCTCCCCGCCCCCACATAATTATGCAAATACATGCAAATATGTATCATGCATGATGTATTGAAGCCTGAGAACACAAACTTTGTTACAGCATGTTTGTGTGTTTCATGCACAATTGCTATTTCCCCCATAATCCTGCTATAAGGCAACTCCTGGGAAGGTAAAGGTAAAGGGACCCCTGACCATTAGGTCCAGTCGTGGCCGACTCTGGGGTTGCGGCGCTCATCTCACTTTATTGGCCGAGGGAGCCGGCGTACAGCTTCCGGGTCATGTAGCCAGCATGACTAAGCTGCTTCTGGTGAACCAGAACAGCGCACGGAAATGCCGTTTACCTTCCTGTCAGAGCGGTACCTATTTATCTACTTGCACTTTGATGTGCTTTCGAACTGCTAGGTTGGCAGGAGCAGGGAGGGACCGAGCAACGGGAGCTCACCCTGTTGTGGGGATTCGAACCGCCGACCTTATGATCAGCAAGCCCTGTGGGTTAAACCACAGAGCCACCCTCAAGTAGCCTTGACATTGTCCAGGTAAGTTTTTGTAAACAGTGCAAGCTTACAGAATGGGCTGATCTTTGGAACTCAGTCTTCAGTTTTTTAATTGAAATGGGATCTAATTCCCCATCTCACCCGTTTTGTTGTATTTGGCCCAGAAAAGTAGGCTAAGTCAGGAGGATGCTGGAGAGAGTTTCAGTTGCTCTGCCCGCATTCCATTCATCAATGTAAGCCTTTCCAATTTCTGGAAAATTAATTTAGCATAGAATCTGGATGCTTATTGGCAGGGTTAGGGGAGGAAAACCATGCCTGTTAAGTTTGGATGTTTGGATGTCAGCCTAGCCTGCAGCGAGGGCGGGGGCAGTGTTGAGTTATTAATTTGTCCCGCTCACCCTGGCCCAAATATTTTTTCTCTTCGGCTCACCAACGTGGAATGTTGAGTAATGCATTTGCTATGGAGAGTGTACATGTCCACATCATGCTTGCAAAGCTCACAGGCTAAGAGTAGAGCCCTGCTTCACGCATTTCATTTTTAGTGTGCACCCAACATTTCCATGCACATCTAAAAATGGAAAATGTGAACATTTGCTTGCAAACATGAGTATCATACAGGCATGTTCTCTATCAGTGTTGTGGCTCCCTGATAGTGTACACTCAAGCGTCGGTTTGATGCTGTTTTTGTGTAGGAAATGGCCATGAGACTTCTTACCTTATGCCATGTGGTCTAAAGATGGAACCATGTGTTGCAAAGAACAGAAGAGTCCTGTGTTAAGTCAATCTCACTCACAAGGATAATGATCAGTTCAACTTGGTGGGCAGCTCTTTCCCTAAAGTACCAGATTTGCACATCATAATCACATCTTGCCATCTATCTAAAGCACATTTAAAGCACACACAACCAAAGACTCCTGTGAACTGTAGTTTGCTAAGAGTGCTGTAAATGGTTGCTCTGTGAGGAGTAAACTACAGTTCCCATGATGATTATTGGGGGGGGGGGGCATACACTTCAAATGTATGTTGGTTCATGCAGTCACAGAGCAAGGTGCAAAACAGAAGTGATTGAAAACGCCTAATGTGAAGAGTTGTTGGGTTGTGCATGTCTGTTTCTGATTGAACATAATGTATGAACAGGAGAATAGCCTGCTGACTTAGCCCAATGACCCATCTTCTTCTCGGCCAACCAGATTGCCTGTGGGAAACCTGCAAGCAGAACACTCACCCCTTCTGTGCTTTCCAGCAGCTATTCAGTAGCACACTGCCTCTGACTGACCAATGCATTGAAGCTATAGTACTTATGGTAATGGATGTATATGTCTTCCCCAGGCCCCATTTTCCTGGCCTAAATCCCCCTTCCATCTCCAGACCTTCTATTAGATTCCCAAAGCTGGAAAAATGCAGATATCTGTATCATGTCTGTCGGTTTTCCAAGGGCAGGCCGAACAACCATGTTAGGGATGTGTTTGAATAGTAGCATGGAAAGGCTTGGGAACTTGGGGTATGCATATGGGTTCTGGTGCAGGGCTGAAAATACTGACCTGCCTGTTTTATGTTTCTTTTATACAGTGCTATTAGCTAGTTTCAGAATTCTGTAAACCCTTGAGGAGTTTATAATCTAAATGTTGACAATCAAGGAGCCACCGAGGCGAAGATATGAATGGGACAGACAAAGGTAGCAAACAAATGAATGAAGAGAGTGACACGGATCCACATATATGAAAAATTGTGCATGTTGATTTGGAAGTGAGTCCAGCTGCTTATTGAGGCTCATTCTAGGTGACAGCGCAGAGGATTACAAACAGAACATTATCATGAGGCTGATATATACTTTGACGCACCCCTTCCTATGCACTTTTGATCATTCCTAACACAGAAAAGAAGACATTCAGCATGCAAATGAGCAGTGTTTTTTTTCTGGGGGGACGCAGGGGTACGCATACCCCTAAACATTTTGTGAATCTAAGTTTGGCCTCATTGAAGGGCAGTATTTCAATATGAGTAGGAAAATGAGAGTACCCCTAAACATTTTTAAAGAAAAACGCACTGCAAATTAGTATTGTGACCAAAACAATCCACTTACTTTGGCATGACAAACCAAATTGCCTCATGCCTGGAAATGCCCATGCAATTTATTTTGGTTGAGGATGAAGATTAAGGTCAAGTTTTGGGAAAGGTGGGTTTTCAGAAGGAAAGATTTGAGCTGAAAATTCTGCTGGCAGCCAGCTTGGATGTGTGCGATGTTGTTTTTTCAGGCTGGAAGGGTAGGCAGAGAAAGTGCTCAAGCAGGGGGGGGGGGAGAGAGATAACTACCCCACCCCACCCACCATTGCCCCCTCACCCTCTTTTCTTCCTAACCTAACACAGTATGTAGCACTAATGTCTCACAACAAATGAAACTGATCTGTAGAAAACACAACTTGAAAAAAGAGACAATGCACACACACACACACACACACACACACACACACATTTTAAACATATTTTTTATTAAAGATTTATTGGTTTACAAAAGTATGTGCCCTGCCTCTTTTTTCAAGTTACATTTTCTACAGATCAGTTTCATTTGTTGAGACATTAGTGTTACATTAGGAAGAAAAGGGGGAACGGTGAGTGGGGTGGGGTCGGGTGGCAATGCTTCTATTCTACTTAGTGTATGTGTGGGGTTTTGTGTCAGCATCACTTGTGCAGGTTCTCTTTACTATTCGCTTGTAACAATGCACATATTTTTGTAAACTAAAATCTTTAATAAAAATATATCTTTTTTTTAAAAGTAGGGGGTGGGAGAAAGAAAGCAGTTCTAGTGGGATTTGTCATTCCACTCATTGATGGAATGCAGAAAAGGTGGGGTCTTGCTGGGAGGGGGAACCTTAGTCAAGCAGCTGTTTAGTTCAGAAAAACATGCAGGCGAAGCAAATGAGGCCTCATTTTAAAAAACCTTGAAGTGGCCCTGTGTGGACGCCATGACTGCTGAGCCACAGTGCTCACTTCGGTTCTGATAGAGAGATTGAAGGTGCCTGTGGAATGACAATAATGCCAGACTCCAAGTTTTGTAACATCTGTCAACTCAGCAGTGCCTGACGGAGGAAAGAGAAAACCCACGTGGAGTCCTGCCTTAGAAGATGAGGAGGCAGTGGTTTAAAAGGCAGAACTCCATATACACACAATCAGTGAAAATAGTTAGTTGCTAAATAAGTGACATGCAAGCCGTATATGTGTGTGCTCGTCCCACAATTCCAGAAGAATGCATGCAAAAGTGCTGAGTTAGAGGCATAGCATACAAGTTGCCAAGACTCTGAGCATTCATTAAACACACAAAATTCAAAATAAATGCTAAAGGATAAAGTTATGCAGAACAAAGTAATGTTGGGGTATGGCCTGTGACGGGCTTCCATTCCACTAGAGCATGCGACTAATAAACACAAATGAGGTATTTTTTTGCCTTGTCTTGTATAACTAATCTGGCTTTTAAAAAACTATTTAGCATAATTTAGTCTCCTTAAAAAGAGAGAGAGAGAACGGCAAGCCAAACATAGGGCCCTGCCTCCAGCCAGTAGATATTGTGTTAAGGTGTCTCTCTGCCTTCTAAGGTTTTAGAAGGTATCACTCACACTCAGTCTCAAGCATATCTTTGTTGTTGTCATCAGGACTATAGATTACCTTTTAATTTGTTCCTACATGAAAGATGATGTTCCCAGGAAAGTGGAATCTATGCCAAGGATTACATTCTGTGGGTTTTCTGCAGGTGATGTAGGTAACTTCTGAGGATATCAGGTTTGGGGTGTGTGGACGCCTGTCATTATCAATAGCTGAAACAAATAGTTCAAACAGTTCATATGGCACAAATAAATACAGGCTTATTAGACAGGGATAAATCATGCATGAAAATCTGGCATGAAAATTGTTAAATGAGCTATATATACACAATTTAAAAAATGTAATCAGAAGTTGAAGGAACTGCCAAAGACGCTCTTCACCAGGGATGCTGATGATGTGGGGCTGGTCCTGATTTTCTGCATTCTATGGGATTGGGGCCAAGACACATAGCCCTGGCACTGGAGGAGGGTCTTTTGTTTGACAAGAATCGGTCAACAGTGGGATGGTGCACATCTGGGCCATTCAGCAAGGCTGTACTTTTAAAGCAGTGCCATGCCACTCTAAAGGGTTAAGGGCACTGCGAGTTCTTAGGACACCCTATTCCCCTCACAGAGCTACAGTTGTTAGAGTGATTTAACAATTGACTCTCTTCCCAGGGAACTATGGGAATTGTAGCTTACTGACAGGTCTAGGGGTCCCCTAACAACTTTCAGTTATCAAGAAACTACACTTCCCAGGGTTCTTTCGGGAAAACAATGACCGTCTAAAGTGGTAGCATAATTCTTTAAGCTTACAATGCCTGCTCTCTGAATCACAGCCCCAGGTCTCATCAGAAATAGCAACTGTCAGGGTGCAGAGTGCACTGTATTACGTCAGCTGTGAAAAGCATTTTAAAAAATACAATACAAGGCAAGCGGAATGAAGTGTTATTTTGATCAAGAGCGGCCTCCCACTGTGAGAAGCTCTGAAGTTAATTGAAACAAGGCGATGCAAATAGTGTATTTTGACATTTCTTAAGCAGTATCTTCAATACTGCAGATTCTTCCCTAACCCCGATTCTAATCCCACCCTGTTTGCTTCTATTTTTTGAGAGGTAGGCCTGTATGCATGAAAAGCAGCCATTATTTTTGTAATTTCCTAGAATTAGTAGATCTAGCAGTCACTCCCCATCACTCAGCCTCACTGAGGTCCAGCTCCGAGGGCCTTCTGGCTGTTCCATCACTGCGAGAAGTGAGGTTACAGGGAACCAGGCAGAGGGCTTTCTCTGTAATCATGCCCACCCTGTGGAGCACCCTCCCATCAGATGTCAAGGAAATAAAAAACTATCTGACTTTTAGAAGACATCTGAAGGCAGCCCTGTTTAGGGAAGTTTTTAATGTTTGATGTTTTATTGTGTTTTTAATATTCTGTTGGGAGCCGCCCAGAGAAACTGGGGAAACCCAGCCAGATGGGTGGGGTATAAATAATAAATTTGTGTCAGACTCATGAGAACTAGTGTTCAAATCCCCACTCAGCTATGAAGCTCACTGGGTGACTGGACACCTTCTTCTTCCACCAAGCCTTTTAAGGTAAGACCTTTCCAGTCTGCATCTGTATTAGAACATTTCTAATATATTTTTATTGTTTTAGCACTTGTTTCCCAACGTGGGCTCCTTCGGGAGGAACTGCAGGATAATAATTTAATAATAAATAAACACAACATAAGCTTCCACAGGCCAGAGACTACTTTTCACAAAGTGAGGCCAAAAGCTTAAAATAGTGCAAGGACAGCAGTAGCATGTCACCGCACAGCGGGGTTGCTTCAGAAATGAGAGGCTGCGAACTTTTTAAGTCCATCTCCATAGACAGGGATTTGTAATTTGGAGTGGTCCAAATGTTATTTTGGGGTGAAGAGGTGACGAGATAGGTGATCCTTTTCAAATTTCTTGATTCACCTGTGGGACCTGCATCAAAATGTTGAAGTGTGGATATGGAGCACTCTGGACCAGCTAGTCAGCCATGCCCCTTTCCAGGACACTCCATCTGCTTTGTCTCTCCTTCCACACACACCCTAGCAGTTGGCTGCTGTTCCTCCAGACAAGTCATGAGGAAGAGGAAGGTGTGGGCATTGCTGTATCTCATATATGTTAGCATCTTCATGGTCTGAACATACAGCATCTTTAAAATGTCCTTGTTTGCATTATAACCGCCGTCTCTGGCTCCATCTAAAAAAACAACACTGTCAGCCAAGGATGCTACTTTTCCCTCACTTTATCTGATTTGTAGCTGCAGTGGGGGTTATAGAATCATAGAATCATAGAGTTGGAAGAGACCACAAGGGCCATCGAGTCCAACCCCCTGCCAAGCATGATAACATAGATTAATGTTTGCTTTCCCTGACATCTCCAGGAACTTTTCTTCCATGGAAAAAAACTGCTTTCTCACCAGCACACTTTAACCATCACTACCCCCTCAAATATCTACCCCAGTCTTCCACAAGCTGGTGCCCTCCAGATGTTTTGGACTATAGATCAAGAACAACACACACAGGCATGGGAATAGTTTATTGTCCCCAACAATTATTATCTTTAAGTGTAAATGCCTAAAGAGTATAAAGCATACGTAAGAGAATGAACTTGAAGTTCCATGCTGACTGGGACTCATGAGTGCTGTAGTCCAAAATATCTGGAGGGTACCAGCTTGGGTACCCTCCATCACTCCCACCTACCAAGTTCAAACCAACACTTTTCAGAGAATGCCTTAATTGGGCTGCTAGAGTCAAGGGTTTTAAAAGCTGTTAACGTAATTATGAGACCATAATGAATTTCAGATGAAAGAGAATATAACCTTTAAATATAATAGATGGTTTTGGTTGGTTTTCTTTTCTTTCCCTCCAGAAGTTGCCAATAATTTTCCTTTGCCACATAATGTAATTAACTGGAAAGGGTGCTGCTAGTATTATAGCATTCTGATGAGGTTGGGTCATCGGGAGCCATTAAGCAAACGTTCCAATGCTTGCACTCATTCCCTATTATCTTCTTCCCAGTTCATTTAAAGGTGCTGAGGAATGCTTTTAAAGCTCTCAGGGCATAAGGCCCAGCATGCCTGAGACCACTTAAATCCACATGTTTCACCATGCCCATTTATGTTGACAGGGATCAAGGGCAGGTGCCCCCCTAAATCAAGTAAATAAACATACTAAACTAAAAGTAATAATAATATTTGAAATTGAAATGCTCACTGAGCTCACTTGGATGATATTGTGGCGCAATCCAACAATCCAACCGGCAACCCAATTGAATGATAGACTTCAGCTCCAAAGCTATACTATGGTACACCATGTGGAAGAAGAAAATCAGCGAAGAGCAGTTAAAAGAGCTGAACACAGCAGGCGTAGTAAAAGAGGCAGAAATATTTTACCCTACGAAAAGGCTCTGCTCGTCTCTTTTGCTCAGCCATGCAGCACTTGTGCCATAGAGCAGTCATTTGTGAGAAGTAAAGACCTGGCTAAGGTCAATGATGGCAGGCCAGCATCTCAATGGACCATGTTACTGAGTGTGCACAGAAAAACTGCATTGGAAGAAAAGCAGGAATTTAAGAAGGAAGTGCTGAAAACTTGTTTTAGTTTACATTTTTAAAAATTAGATTAAATTGGATTAAAATTAGATTAAATTAGATTAAAAAGGCGTGTTCTTTGCAATTTTGCTAAATATACTCATTAACCGCATTAAAGGTACTCCCTGATGTTAACTTTTTATTTAACTTCCTAGTTTTCAAATGACTGAACATTTTGACAGATTTTTCTGAGCCCTGGGGGTCAAAAGAAAGTAATTTAAAACAACTGTTGTTGAGACTTTTATTCCAAATCTGCTGGACAGAGCCAGACAGAGGATGATGGCGAGTGGGTGTCCTCCCCCCTTAAAAAATAAATAAAGCTGAATCTTCAGTTATGCAAATGAGCACAGACCCTGATTGAAGGCCAAGACCCCTGGAACCCTGCACATGTCTTGGCAGGGATTGGGCAGATTGTAACAATACCAGCAGCTTGAATTTTGCCTGGTAGCAAATTGGCAGCCAGTGCAAATCCCACACGCAAGGTGCTATATGCACTGGCAGAGGAAGAGGAGTGCGGGGGGAGCGCACTGCCCCCGGCAGCGTGATCCCGGTGGGGTGCCAGCGCCATGCCCCTGGGATATGCGCCAGCCCTGCCCTGCCTGCTCTCCGCCCCCCGGAGCATGAAGCTCCGCCACTGGCTATATGCTGGCACTAGCTTGCCCCCACCAGCAGCCAAGCTACTACAACCTGCACCAAAATCACCGGATGGAAAAGCCCCAAAGGCAATCCCACATAGAATGCATTGCAGTAATCCAATTGTGAGGTTACATGCATGGACAACTGTGGTAAAGCTATCTCAATCCGAGAACCATTGTAGCTCTCTTACCAGTTTAAGAGACTGGAGCTATTAATTTCATTGTGGGGTGACGCTTTTTAGACAGATATATGTATTGCTTTACGTTTTTCAAAATGTGGCAAGCCAACCCAGTTGTGCTGCTTCTGCCGAGTGGGGCTCTGGATTTCTGCCCTATAGCACTGCCCTGCCTTGGTTTCCCAGTACAGTGGTACCTCTGGTTACGTACTTAATTCGTTCCGGAGGTCCGTTCTTAACCTGAAACTGTTCTTAACCTGCTGCTGCGCCGCTGCACGATTTCTGTTCTCATCCTGAAGCAAAGTTCTTAACCCAAGGTACTAATTCTGGGTTAGCGGAGTCTGTAACCTGAAGCATATGTAACCTGAAGCATATGTAACCCGAGGTACCACTGTACAAAGCGGAGTATCTCAGGCAAAGGTGGGGCTTTTCTATCACCTACTGCCAATTCCTTCTTTAACTGAGATGCCAGGGATTGACCCTGCAAAGTATGTGCCCTACCTCTAGGGACAGGAGAATAAATTTGATTCAAAACAACCTATCATACTTTTCCGTCTATAAGACACCATGTATAAGATGCCCCCTATTTGGGGGAGGGCTCAAATTTAAGAAAATGAGCAGATTTTGGGGCGGATGGGAATGCCAAACCAAATATCACTCACCCAACTGGCAAACGCTAACAATTTCAAGCAACACAAGCCGAATTGCCGAAGCGGCAGCCAATCCAAAGTAGCGCTTGAAGCATCCGCTAATAACCCGCCTATGTGACAAAGCAGCAGCCAATCCAAAGCAGCCCTTGCAGCAGACATCATTCACCCACCCAATCGCTAGATCCTGCTCCCGGATGCAACCAATCGCCCATCCCCCCTCTGCACTACCAATGTATAAGATGGACCCCCCCACCCATTTTTTATTTTGGAGGGGGGGGAACCCTCATCTAATACACAGAAAAGTAATTTGCACTTTCCAAACCAATGCACGGACCGAAACAAAGCCATCCTTAGAAATTCAAATTTCTCTGCATTTTGGAAATCAGTTCTCCAGCCAAATGATGAGCTGAAAAATGCATATACTAGTGTAAAGTGTGCATATACCTGTTAGATCACCTTGCCCCATAAATGCCCAGTGTGTTGCTTCCATCTGCAGAACTGGCACTGTTCTAGGTGCCACATAATATTTGTTCCACATTTTTAAGAAATCAATTTTTAGTATGGCAGCACTCACATTTTGGAACTCCCTGCCTACTGACATCAGACGGGCGCCTTCACTGTACTCTTTGGGCACCTGCTTAAAACATTTTTGTTTCAACAAGCCTGCACAAATAGAATGTTTACGTGTTTTAATCTGTTTTCAGCTCATTGCTAATTTTAATTATTATTTGAACATTTTAAACAGCTAATTTAAGCGTTTTTACTCATAATATTATTGTTTTACTCTATGTAAACCACTTTGAGGGTTTTTTAAAACATTCAAGCAGTATATAAATTCTATAAAATAAATAAATGATTTGTTGTTGTTGTTTAGTCATTTAGTCGTGTCCGAGTCTTCGTGACCCCATGGACCAGAGCACGCCAGGCACCTCTGTCCTCCACTACCTCCCGCAGCTTGGTCAAACTCATGCTGGTAGCTTCGAGAACACTGTCCCACCATCTCGTCCTCTGTCGTCCCCTTCTCCTTGTGCCCTCCATCTTTCCCAACATCAGGGTCTTTTCCAGGGAGTCTTCTCTTCTCATGAGGTGGCCAAAGTACTGGAGCCTCAGCTTCAGGATCTGTCCTTCCAGTGAGCACACAGGGCTGATTTCCTTCAAAATGGATAGGTTTGATCTTCTTGCAGTCCATGGGACTCTCAAGAGTCTCCTCCAGCACCAGAATTCAAAAGCATCAATTCTTTGGCGATCAGCCTTCTTTATGGTTCAGCTCTCACTTCCATGCATCACTACTGGGAAAACCATAGCTTTAACTTATACGGACCTTTGTCAGCAAGGTGATGTCTCTGCTTTTTAAGATGCTGTCTAGGTTTGTGTGAAAATATATATGCAAATATACAATACAAAAATTCATTGTATATGGGGAAATTGCTGTGCTAAAATATGCATAGTAGGCAAAATATTGTACAAGTGTGTATATTAGGAGAAATTCTCACTAAAATGCCGTTGAATTTTAGTGAGGTGTCTTTAAAGAAAAAGTTTGCAAAGTGATATGGAAATGTGAAGAACCAAACTCATTTTGGGTAAAATGAGAAATTGAAAGGGACAGATTTGCACAGCCCTCCTAACTGTTGAGCTACAGCCGCTCACAGAGCAACAAATTAGCCATGTGTGCCACCTGGCAATCACCCATAAGGGCAGATTCCTGTCAGGAGATGCCAGCTGCCACCCACCCCACAAAGTATGCAAATACTAATTGCCACACACTGCCCGAGTACAACTGGTGTCTTTTCCAGACCTGTGGCTTTATCAATCCACATTTCTGCTACTGTGGTCTGGACAGCTTGCACCACATCCCTCCTCTTTCATGCCAATGCCTCCCCCACCCGCCTGCTTTGCCTCTCCACTTAATGTTATTGCCGGTGACTAAGCCAAACAGAGATGACTGCCTCATGCCTTATTGCTTTTCATGCATGCTGGGTTCATTTGGTGATAAAGTCAAAGAAAGGGAGAGCGCTGCATATTCCCAGAACAAAAGGTCATCTGTTTCCTGTCAGGGAATTCAGCTCTGGTTCCATCTCTTTTTAAATGAAGAACAGTAATGCTTTTTTTTATCCGCCCTGTGGGGAAGGAAGAAGGAAAGTGGGGAGAGGGAACTACTAAATAAAACTTTTTGTGCCATGCCTCCTAAGATGGTAGGCAGTGAGGCAGTAACAAGTCCTCTGATGCATGCCCCCCCCGAAAACTTTGGGGTTCCCTTGAGCATGCTGATACCTCCCTCCAGGGCCAGCCCAAGACATTGGGTGAACCACAACAGGACACCTGCCCCACCAGCGAAGAAGAGGGGAGGGAAGATTTACATCAGGAACAAGCCAGAGGGAGGGAATCAATCAGTGGCCCACGCTGAGTGGGTGCAGAGGGCACAGGGCAGCCCCCGCCATTTCCTCCATGGGGTGGGAGGAGACCAGCAGAGCCTCCTGTTTGCTGAGAGGCCACTGTGGAGGCAGCATGGGGAGGAGAGCATAGCAAGGGCTGCTGGCCTTTCTTCTTTTAGGCTCATCTGAGTTTGCTGCTAGGAGTGATAATAATTATTAGCTAGGGTTGTTACTGTCATATACGTCGGGCATGTAAATTTGCTGGGTGGTGTAGATCACTCAGTTAAACAGAAATGGATCCTCTACTGTTTTTGTTAACTTGTGCAATTTTATTTTTACCAAAGCTTTTGTGTGAGCTGGTCTCATAAATAATTGTTGCAGCGCACAGGCTGCACTAAGGACCCTCCAAGTTGCTGTTTAATTGAGGGTGTATTCTGCAACATGTTCTTCACACAATAATTGTGCATTTGTGGTAGATTTATTCTGCTTTATTAGTTGCTCTGTGATGCTTTCCTGATGCTACCACATTACTGCTATTGGGAAGGGCTATGGCGCAATGAAAGTGGGAGAGAAAAACTGTCATAGGATTTCATCAAGAAGTTGCAGGGTCTTTACTGATTGGAAATGAAGCCTTGCGGTTGCCCCAAAACTTTAGCAGGTGCAAACAGTATGTATTGAAAGCAACATCATGTATGACCACCCTGATAGCACAAAGGTTTGGAAGCTGTCTTCTAGTCCCACGTTTGCTAAACGGTAACTAAACCACAGGAATATGTAGTTATGGAAAAACTGATTATGTTAGATTCAAAGAAGCAAGACAAAATCACAACAGATTTCTTTGACAGATTAACAGAATCATAGAAATGTAGAGGAGTTGGAAGGGAGCCAAGAGGGTCATCTAGTCCAACCCCAACTAGAAACCATTTATTGTATTTTGGCACAATAAGGCAATTCTTCAAGTGATGTGACTCATGTGTTGAATACTTTGCAAATGACCTCTGTTAATAATTACTATAAATTGTAGCTCTTTTATCATTTGCTTGAGGTGTGGATGATAAAGGTGCAGAAGATAAGCAAAGCCCCGCAGGCAGTGGGCAGGTTTCCTGCCTTATCTGAGGGGATTGGGCCACCTCAGGGATTGACAGAAACAAAAGCCAGCTGAAGGAACTGGAAATTCTGAAGAAGAAAGAGCAAAAATGGATTCTGGAGATTGCCACAAGCAGGATTGCAAAACAGAGGAGGAAGAAGCTGGACCACAGATCAAATTCTGAGGTAAATTTTGAAATCAACAGCCTGGTTCTCCAAAACCTGAAGGCTAGAGCTGACCTCGTACAGCCACTGAGTACCAGGCTTACGTGGGCTTCAAAATTTACCTCAGAAATTGATGTGTGGGCTATAAATCCACAGGGCTGTGACTCCTTAATGCCGTTTTGCCTGTTTTAGGCCTGAAGGGAAAAGAAACATATTAATGGGCTGCTGCTGGACTTTCCTAATCCTTGGAGGAGGCAGGCACTGATTAACCTTTTTTATTTTTAACTTTGACTTTCGAATCTCATTCGGCACTGAGGTAAATGTGAAAATGACACACTTCGCTGCAGAGTAATTAGAACATGTTTGCGCACACGCAGACATTCTGGCGGAGGAGGGCAGCCAGGCATCCTTTCCCCGCTTTCCCCCCTTTTGTATTATCATGATAATGAATGTTCTGACTGGAAGCTTGCAATTATGCTTCCTCCTTCCTTCCCTCTTCCCTTTTCCTCACCAAAGAAAGTCTAATTAATAATGAACAGAGCCCAGGGCTGCTGCCATATTTGTCCTGTGAATCTTTCCGCTTTGGGGTGGGGGGTGGGGGAAAGGCTTTTTCTGATGGTAGAGGCAGGGTCAAAGAGTAGTGATTAAAATCTTATTTTATGAAATTATAAAATGGTGACAAGACAAGCAAAGCTGTGCAGGTTTCCTCCTCTAATCACTAAACCTCTTTTTAAATGGATCTTGCAGCAACATCTTTATAAATGTGCTGATGGGTCATTATGTAACCCAGAAGATTTATGCAAAAGTGTTTGCATACTTTAATAGAGATGGGGACAGTATAAGATTCAGTTAAGTACATATTGCTGGCTTTAAAACACAGCAAGGTATTTTTTATTTTTGGGGGGCTGCATCTCAAATTGCATTTGCTTGTTGCTGTACAGAACAGTATGGCTGGATGTCTTTCCAAGTCACCTGCAG